GGGAAAAGAGGAGAGCAGAAGGGGGAGGGAGAAGATGAAGGGCGACAGCAGCAGCAGCAGCAAGCAAGCAATCCAGGCGCGGCCAGGCCCGCGTTTACCTGCTCTGCTCTGGCTTGCCTTACTTCGCCGGAGTGCTGTGCAACGCAACGCGCAGCGCTGATCTGTGCCGCTTGCTCTGCCTCGTCTTCTTCGCTTTGGATTCCCGCTGCGTCGCGCGGCGCCGCTCAGCGTCGGCGTGCACCGTGCTGCAACGCACTTCGCTGCCCTGCCTTGCTCCGCGTGGCAGTTCTCTGCGTGGCCTCCCGTTGCGCTGCCCGTCCCCTGTCTTGGCTGGCTCTGCTCCGCCATCCATGGAACACTGCGCAGCTGTGTGCTGACGAACACTGCTGCGCAACTGAAGGGGCCCTGGGACATGCAAATAGATAGACACACATAACAGGATTCACCATATTTTCCTATATGTTCTGGGTTTTGTCTCCCCCCCTCTTCCCATGTTTTCCCATGTTTTCTGGGGTACCGACGATTCATTGTGTCCGTGTGTTTTTTCCCTCCTGCGCAACGCTGCAGCGCACTGCCGATCTATGACGTCGCACGTGCCGCCGCGCCGTCTTGTCCTGAGCGCGCCCAGGCAGACGACGCCGACGCCGCGGCGAACCGCACGGCGAGCCCTGCGCCCGAGGCGAGGCTTGCCCTGGTGGCCGAGGCGCCCTCTCGAAGACACGGGGCCGCGCGTCGGAGCAGGCGGCGCGGCGACACGTGCGCTGCCCGCCACTCGCCACCGCTCAGACGGCCCTTCCCCGTGCCCGTTTCGACGTCGCGCGCGCACTTTTCGGGTCGGGCGAGAGGGGGGGATGGCAAAGGGGGGGCTTGAGAATCAGCTCGCGTAGCTGATTTTCCCGGCGCCTCCCGGCGCCGGAGGAATGGGCCCCTCGGTGAGGCCGAAACCAGCTGCATGCAGCAAATTTCGTACCCCCCCCTTTCCCAATCCCCCCCTTTCGTCCGGCCCGAATTTTGTCGCGAGGAGACCCCCGATGCTCCTCGATGGTCCTCGCCGGAGGGAAACGTGCACGCGCCCGAGCGATGCCGAGGTCCGGGCGGAGGGAGGGGGGGCCTCGAGGCACGACGGCCGGGCTTCCCGGCGGAGCCCGGGAACCGCGGGGGGGGGGGGCACCTCCGACGACCTGCCGCGGCCCTCTGAAGGGGCCCTGGGACACACTAATCAATACACACAAATAAAAAAATATTCCCCATATTTTCCCATATATTTTTTGGGGGTTCTGGCTTCCCCCCCCCGCTGCCCATATGTTCCTATATTTTCGGGGGAATCGTCGATTCATTGTGTCTGTGTGTTTTTTCCCTCCTGACTCTCTGGGCCACACACCAAACCAAAACGCTTGGGCCTGTCGCCGCGCCGCTTGTTCGCGACGCGCCCGAGCGGACGACGCCGGCGCCGCAGCAGGCCCCGCGCCCCGCGCCCAGGTCGACGAAGTCGGCACCGCGGCACGCCCCAAGGCGAACCCGCTGCGCCCGAGGCGGCCTTTGCCCTGGTGCCCGCAGCGCCCTCCCAAAGGCCGCGCGTCGGAACAAGCGGCGCGCCGCGGCGACACATGCATTCCGCGCTGAATGGTGGAAGTAACGCTAGTGCCACAAAAGGCGCGAATGCTAGTTGAGGGTAACTGGCAGTAGTCGAACGACCGCGTCGACAGCAAGGCCTCAAACGAACGCTGCCGACATGCAAGAAAAGAGCATGCGCCAAGCCACGTCAGCATCACTGCAATTACTCCGCTTCCTCCTCCCTCTCCGCGGAAGGAAGGAAAGACAGGCCAAGGTTAGGACAGGAGGGAGGAGGAACACAACCAGACCAGCAAGCAGCGAGCATCGACAACGAAGAGAAACACGGGCGAGAAGGAAGCGGGGGGAAGCATCGCCGCTCCACCCCCGCACCGCAACCTCCAGAACTGATCTTGAACTGATCCCCGTGCGCCAGCCGGCGCGTTGGCCCCTCGTGGTCGTTAGACGTCCTCGAACGACTCGCCATCGCTCGGACGTCCATTCTGTGTGCTTTTTTTCGGTTTCGTGCGTGGTTTTTTCGCCAAATGATCAAGGATGCTCCTCGATGGTCTTCGTCGAAGGAAAAATGCACACGTCCGAGCGATGCCGAGACGAACAAGCGTGAGACTGCGAAAACGGTGGACAACGCCTCATGACCACCCGGCCCGCCGCTGCCGTCATGTCAGGGCCACGAGGGACCTCTGGGAACCTCGAGACCGTCCAGGGGCCCCTCGAGACTTCCGAGAGCTCCCCCAAAGCGACCTTCAAGGGCCTCGGAGAAGATCCCTCCCAAAGCCTTCTGGGAATTCCCCCAGAGCCCTCTGTGCCCAGAATGTCGGAGCGGATCCTGCCGTAGTTGCGGGAGGACCCCAGGAGGCCCTGAAAGGGCGAGCGGCAACAGACAACCTCGACGACGACGACGATCACGACCACGATCACGATCACGACGACGACGACGAAAACGTCGGAACAACATCTGTTCAAAATCGGGGATCTTCTGACCCGGGTCAGTCCAGACCCAGGTCAGCAGGAAACCAAAAACTGCAATGCAAGAAACAAAAAAACTGCAACGCAGGTCTTCGCAAACCCGGGTCAGCCAATACGTGCGGCCGCCTCGCGGCCACGAGCGGCTCGCTAGCCTGGGTCAGCCAGAGGGGGTCTTCGCAGGATCCTGCAGGATCCGGCGCCGTGGCTGACCCCCGTTTGCATGGACCATCGTCTCAAGGCTCTGGACAAAACGGATCCCCGGGCCACTCCGGGGATCCATCCTGAAGGGGCGAGCGGCAACAGACAACCTCGACGACACGACGACGATCACGATCACGATCACGATCACGACAAACTGTCACGATCACGACGACGACGAAGACGTCGGAACAACATCTGCTCAGAACGGATCCCCGGGCCGCTCCGGGGAGCCATCCGGGCCTCGCCGTCCAGCCGCGTGCGGCCGTGGCGGCGAGCAAAAGAGGAGCGCGGCCGCGGCAGAGGCACGCGGCGGAGAGGCCTCGGGCGCAGGGAGCCCACGCCGCAAAAGGCGCCGCGCGGGCGGCCTGCGGCACCGAAGGCCGGTGCGCACCAGTCGGTCGGAGCGCTCCTGGGGGTTACCGGCCTCGAGCGTATCCCTATGCCCAAGATGGACACGCCAAGCAGCGATGGCAATCTCAGGGATTCGCCCTCAAAAAAGAAGGGACCCCCCAAGATTGGCACCGTGATGAGGAGGTGCCCAGCATAGGGACAGGGATATGTTCCAGGCTGGTAATGGGGGGCACCGTGGGCCGCGTGCTGGCCAAGTCGCCCGTGAGGCCCGGTCGGTCGGAAGGTAGAAACAGGAAGCAGGAAGGCGCTGGAAATACAAAAATGGGGGCCCGCCCGCCCCCCAAAGAGGACGGGAAAGGTGAAGCCACTCGATCATTGAGGTAGGAAGGCGCTTCATGTCGATTGGAATCTGGGAATCCAAAGATACCTATGTTCAACGACCGATGGGTACAGTCGTCGCGCTACCAGGAGCGCAGAAGAAGGAGCGAAGGAGCTTTTCTGGCCACGGGGGAGGAACGCAGAAGAAGGAACGCAGGAACCAGACGGACCTAGGACAGAAGGGCATCCTTCAAGAGCACGAGACCCTCCGCCAGCCAAAGCACACAAAACGTCCCAGGGAACCCCTCCCCAGGGTGCACAAGCACATCGAACACGCACGAAGAACACGAGGGTATCCTCCCCGAGCCGACCTCGATCTTATACCTGAGTCCGACTGTAAACCGCAAACAGGCTCTACTACAAAAATCGGAGGATCAGCCAGAAAACCAGAATCCCTGTTGAGCCCAGAGCGGTCCTTGTTGCAGCGACTTGACTGTCCTGATAGGTGTGTGGTCAGTCTGGCGGAACAGAAACATGCACCAACATACACGTCGTTCATATTGAGTCGTGCTCATTTCTGATGGTGCTCGTTTCTGATGGTTCCTGGCCCCCTCGTGGCCAGGAAGAGGCCCAGGACAGAACAATTAGACATGAAAGGATCGTGGTCCCCCAAAAAATGAGAGAACTTTCGAAGAATTCGAAACAATTAATGCACCCTCGAAGAAGTAACACTGAACAGCGTGTAGACGTTCGGGGGTCCGCGCGGGCTTCCTGGCTGGGCGCTGGAGCGCCCCCCCTGGGCGCGCGGGGCGCGCCATTGGGGCAGCGTCGGAGGCGCCGCCAGGAGGGGGCTCCAGCGACCCGAGGAACCGGCCCGGAACTTCCCCCCCCCCCCCCCACGTTCCCATATGTTCAAAGAGTTTTTGTCTTCCCCCCCACTTTCCCATAGTTTCCCACATTTTCCTGGGAATCGACGATTCATTGTGTCTGTGTGTTTTTTCCCCTCCTGAGTGTGGACCAATCTGCCTGAAGATCTGGCACTCGCACTCCCAGGGGGGCACATGCGAGCCCTACCCCTACCCACGATTTTTGAGGGGGAGGGTGGGTTTCACTTCGTTCGGGAGCTCTCGAACGCAGCGAACCCCACCCTCCCCCTTCAGAAATCGTGGGGGGTGGGGGTAGGGTTCGCATGTGGCCCCCTAAACTTGGAGAGCTCTTGCTTACAGTGCGGGCGCGGCCGCAAGAAACCCTCGCAAGAAACCCAACCCTGAAAACCCTTGCGCGAGGTACACCTGAGGGGCAACCCAGAGCACCCTGAACGCAGCAGCTCTTTCAACGGCTGCGGGAAGTCACCGCGTGGCGCGAGGAGCGAAGAAACCCAGGATACCCGGACGAAAAGCAGATGGTTTCTTGATGCGCGCCCCCACTGTAATTTCATGTTGATCGACGAAGGCGAAGGCGGCGCGATCTCAATGGAGAGGCATGGTCGCCGCCCCAAACCACCCTGCGAAATGAACGCGTCGGACGACGACGACGACGACGACGACGACGACGACGACGACGACGACAACGACGACGACGACGCAGCGCACCGCAGGGTGCGCCGCAGGCGGCCACCCCGCGGCGCGGTGGCGCGCGCGGCCGCGCGTCGCCCGCCGCCCGATCAGGGGCCCCCGCGTGCTGGGCCCACCAAGGGGCTGCGGGCGGCGCGGCGGAGCCGTCGTCGCCGTCGTCGACGTCGCAGCCGTCGTCGTCGTCGTCGTCGCCGCCGCCGCCGCCGCCGTCGTCGTCGTCGTCGTCGTCGTCACCGTCGTCGTCGTCGTCGTCGTCGTCGCCGTCGTCGTCGTCGTCGCCGTTTGCCATGGATGTTTTCCCAACATCCTGTGGTGTTGGGCCCTCGCTTTGGAGAGGCAGCGCCCCGCGTTCCTTACCTCCCGCCCTTCCCTCCCCGCCTTCCCTCCTCCCACCTCATGTCCGCACACCCCTCATACGTTTCGTGGCTCCGCAGGCCCCCGCCCCGCGTTGCTCACCTCCCGCCCTCCTCCCCCTCATCCCTCCTCTGACCGTCCCCGGCTCTTTTATCAGCTCCGCGTCCGGGCCCAAGCCTCTGGTAGAACTGCCGCTAGCAAACGGAGACGGATGGGCTGCCCCTCGGCGACGTAGCCGATGGCACGTCGTCGCCGTGGCCGGCCCGCCCCTTCCCCCGGCCAGCCTTCTCCTTCCTCGCGAGGCCGGAGGGCTCGCTACAGTCGGTGCTGGCCTGGTGCTTCTGCGCCGCCAGCTCGAACGGGGCGCGTTCTGCGGCCCCCTGTCCGCCCATTGCTGTCGCGATCCCTCCACAGAGGTCGGTCCAGTTCGGAGAATTCTGGAAGTCTAAGTTCCAACGGCCAGACGAAAGAAGGCCCGCGCAGTCGCGAGCTCCCCTCGGGCCTCGATGCACTCGCAGCAGCGAGGCGGCCCTGTGCCTCCGACTTGGCAGGGCGGTCTCGTGGTCGCGCGCCTCCCCCCGCCACGCCGCGAGGACGGCGTCCGCGCGGCAGTCGGAATCCATGTCGCAGTGGCACCTGAGGGTGGCACCGCCGAGTTCCGAGAGCGCCTCGAGCAGATCCGGCCTCGACGCGAGCAGCTCCGTGAAGGGCGAGAAGGCGGCCGTCGGGCCGCGGAGCTCGACGGGGAAGGGGTCGCCCCACTTGCTCGCCTGGCGCTCGTCGTTGCCCTGCCCGATGTAGTTGCCCCCGCCTCGGCGCCCCCTCTTCCTCGCCCCCGAGCGCCACTGGTGAGCGGGCCGAGGTGAGGTCCCCCATTCCACGATGGGCAGTGGGCCGCTCTGCAAATCTGCCCGCGCCCCGCTCGTGCAGCTGCGGGGGCCACGCCGCGGCGCCCGTGGTCTTGAACGCAGCATCGCCCCGCCCGCGCTCTAGCGACTGGAGCCCTGCGGGCGGCGGCGGCGACGGCCCCCGGCACGCGCCGTTCGCGACGAGCTGCGGAGCCCCGCGATGGGGCCGCGGGCCAGCGGTCAGCCCTGGAAACCGGCCGATGAGGCGAGTCGGCTCTGGGCACGGCGTGCCAGGGCGGCTCTGACGGAGGCCGCCGCGCGCGCGCCGTCGAGGGGAAGGAGCTCGTCCACCATTTGCAGCTGCCGCGTGTTGGCGGGGCGCAGGATGCCCCAGATGGCCGGCCGCCTGCCTGCTGCGCGTCAGCTGCTTCGGCGCTCGGAGGGCGAAGTCGGCGAGCCGGCTGGATGCGTGGCACGTCGATGCTTCGCGACCCTCCTGCCAAGGGAAACTCCGAGGGAATTTTTCTAACCGCGCCGGGCGCGGCCCACGGCGGTTCATCTTCGCGACTCGTGACTGGGGGCTGCGGGCAGTCGAGGCCGCGAGCGCGCCCCGTTCGCCTGCTGCCCGTCTCTTGCCTTGGCGTCGTCAGACCTGGCCAGGTCGACCTTCTCCATGCGCGGCGGCGTGCCGAGGCTGCGCGCGAAATCCGCGAAATCTGCTCGTCGCCTGTGGCCTGCCATAAGGTGGAGCACCTCCCGGCTTCTGCCACATGTTTGCGCCATCTCTTCGTCGAAGTCGTCCCCGGCTGGGGTGCGTGGCGACGCCTCCCGTTCCTGGATTTCGTCTGCAAATGTCAGGATCGCCTTGCGGGGTGGGCGCCCATCCTGGAGGGTCGCGCGGCGCCTCTCCCCCGCCGATGACCTCCTCGGCGGGCCGCTGACTGCTCCTCCCGACGTCGCACAGGCGAGGCCACCGCCCCCGACGGCTCGCGCGGGGCCCCGCCGATGCCGGCCCCGAGGAGGCCGCCTGCTGCGCCCCGCGGAAAGAAAGTGCCCCCGCGGAGCTCCGCCACGTAGGTGCGCGGCCACCCGGGGGCGCTGGGCCCGATTCTGCGGGCGGTGGTAGCCGGGGGGGCGCGGCCCCCCTGGCCCTGTGCCGCTGTCGTTGTCGCCCTGTGCCGCCATTGCCCAGCGGCGTCGGCGGCGGCCGCTCGACCTTCGGAGCGTCGTGGATTGGCGGCGCCGCCGCGGGGGCCTCGCTCTTCGCGTCTCCCCGCGAGCTTGTCCGCTGCGCTTGCGCCGCGCGTGGCCTTGCGCGGAGCAGGGCGATTGCGCGCGAAGGAAGCGGCAATTCTTCGGGTCACACTTGGCCGTCTTGGAATTCAGCCTGAAGCAAATCTCCCCGCTGCCCAGCGTCCGCTCGGCGGGCCCCCCGCCCTGGTCGGATGCCTTGCCGCCTCCTTTGCGCGCCCCGCCCTTGCGAGCCCGCTGCGGCGGGCTGAAGCCTCGCTGCCGGGGCGCCTGCGGCGGGCTGCGGGCCGCCAGGCTGGCGAGGGCCACCGGGGTCGCGAAGCGCCGCTCCATGACTGCCGAGCCCCCGCTCTCCAGAACGCTGCGCGGAGAACCATGCGCTCCCATGGCGGCCCAAATGTGCTCCAAGATGGCTTGCTGCGCCGGATGCCAGGCCATCTTGCGCACCTGATGCTCGTGCTAAACTGCACGGCTCCAACGCGGGCGCGCTGCCGCGTCGCCCCGCGCGCTTCTTGCCGCGAGGTTCCAGACGTGCCCCCCCTAGCACGTGGTCCAGGTGCGCCTGGCACTGCCATGGGCCCCCGCCCTGCAGCCCCTGCCTGTTCGCGGGGAACTGGCCGAGCACGTTCGCGCCCGTGCCCAGAAGAATCGCGCGCTTCCGCAGCGCTCCCAGGCCCCGCGAGGGCTCGACATTGATGGTTTCAGCCCGCCCTGGACTGCGTCGCCCCTGAGCTGGGTCAAACCAGAGTCGCGGGGTCGGGGTCCTCGCCCTAATCGGCCGAGTAGACCGCCGTGGGCGCCTCCGCCCTGGTTGGCCCCCCGCTCGATCTCAAGGTGGGACTTCGCAGGCATCTGGCTCTCCTCGAGCATCAGCCGCATGGCCTGGTGATCGGGTGCGCTCAGTGTCGTGATTCCCTGGCGCGCGTCGAGGTCTCCCTCCACATTCTGCCGCTGCTCGACCTGGGTGCGCGCCGCCTGCCGCGCGCGCCCCGGCGCGACAACCGTCGCGCGAGGCTTCGCCCCGGCCCGCGCTCGATCTCCCTGGCGGGCGCCCCGGCGTCGTCGCCCGCATTCGTTATGCGGGCGAACTTCCGTCTGCTCGTCGCCTCGCGGGAACGCCCGCCGCCTGCGCGCTCAGCGGGGCGCCCTCCGTCGCAAGGAGGAAGCGCAGGTTCGAGCGCGGCAGCTTGCGCACATCTCAACCTGCGCGGGCACCTTCGCCAGCGCGCTGTCGCGGCGCCCCATCGCGCCGGGTCGCGCGGGCGACGCCGAGTGCCAGCCAGGACTGCGCCGGAGACCACGCGGGCCTTAGTCCAAGCCGTCAGGGCCGAATGGTCGCGGCCCGAGTAACGGCCCCCACGGCTCGGCGGGGCGAGGGCTACATGCGGCGCGGTCCTGAAGCCCTGCCCGTCTTCCTTAAGGCCCTCCCCAACGCGGCGGCGCCCCCTTCCAAGGCAAACTCTGCCCGCGGCGGGCGCGGGGCCGCAGGCGGGGCGGACGTCGTCGACGCGGGGGGGCGTCCACCAGCAAACGGGGCGCCGGGGCAGTCGCGCGGGAAGTTGCCACCTGGGCGTGGCCCGCCTCTGCCGAGCCCGGGCTATCTCAGGTCGTTCCTTGCGCGGGCGCGGCCTCCGACCCGCTCGTGCCCGAGTGCTGGGAAGGGCCCGCCCCGGCTTGTTGCGCGGGGCCCTTTCGCCTCTGGCGGCCCATGCAGCAGCTCCGTCGAGGGGGGCGAGGGCTGGCGCGCCCCTGCCGGGGGGCGCCCCGCGGGGCCCGCCGCCGCTGCGGGCTTCCCCAGGGCGGCCCCCTCCGACCCGTCGGAGCTGGCGGAGCTCGATGAGCTGCCCGAGTCGAAAATCTTGTTCACGTCGGCCGCCTTCGCCATCTCGGCGAGACGAAGCGCCAGCGCATCTGGCAGACCGCGTCGTCGTCCTTCGGGTCCGGCATGTCGTATGTGCGTCTAGCGGTGGCCCCCCGTTCGCCCGGCCGCGGCCCCCGACCTTGCGGGGTCTGACCACCTCGCGCTTCTTCGCGTGCGCGACGAAGTTGCCGCCGACCTCCTCGGCGCCCTGTCTCGGCGACTTGGACGTTCGCCCGGCTGCCCTCGTCGGCGCCATCACATCCGCGGTCTGTCTTCGGCGCTCTTCGCGGGGGCATCGCCGTCGCCGCAGGCGGCGAGACGTCGCCCGCTTCCCAATCTTGAGAGGCGGCCTCTGGCGCTGCCCTGCCCAGCTTGTCGTCGATGTCCTGGAGCGCCGTCGCCGGAGCGCCCGCCGGGTCGACTCGAGGGCCCCCGCAAGGCTTGGCGGCCACGCTCGCCGCTTCCCGCGCCGAGAACATCTCCCATGGCGGCCGACTCGACCAGCGCCGCGCAGGACCTCCCCGAGCGCGGCGCCTCCGTGACCTGATGCTTGAGCTTGATCGCGATTGCGCGGCGCGTCCTTGCGCAGGCGTTCGCCCCGTCGGGCGGTCGCGACCACTTGCCTGGGCAGTCGCGGTCGCTCCTCGAGATCCGTGGCGCCGCCGTGGCCGAGAAGTCGCTGCCCGCTCCGAGTGCTCCGTCCAGGATCCCGCGACATCCTCGGAAAATAAGATCCCTGCTCGCACCGCGTCAGCATCCTCCGGAGCACTTCCTGGCCCGTTTCTTGCGCGCCCGGCGAGCTTGCGGAC